ACATTTCCTTTCCTTTTCACAAATCTCTGGCATTGAGAGACGTCTTTCCTATGGGGCGGTGGACATAACGAACTTTGGCCCCTGTTGTTCTGTAACAGTATTGATTTTGTAATACAGTGCGAGAAAGGGCAAAAGGCAATCACGATCAGCTACAAGAGCGCAGGCGGCAGGGACGCACATCGGAGGTGCTTCAGGAAGAAGTGTGCAGAGCTCTCTGACACGGGCTTCCTCTCACTCTGAGGACCCCACCCCCTCCCCCAAAACAAGAGGCACAGTGACCTCATTTGTTTCTGAAATGGCTATTAAAAAAAACATTTCTCACTCAAACCTTTTTACTATATAGCTACATAAAGAAAATTCAACCATGAAGGCGCATAAAATACATACACGTGGTGAAATCATTTTTTCCAAGATATTTCTCACAGGTTGCTTGGGGCCAGGCTGCCAAAACAAGAGACCGGCTGGATTTTCCCCTTTCCCCCAGTTGCTTTTGGTCGTGGAAAGACAGGCAGAGCTTGGCTGGGCACCAAACGTTCGTCCTCTAAAGCGAACCTTAAGGATTCGCCCAGCGCAGGGCCTGCTGGGGGTAAGACATTCTGATGGACATGGGGAACCGCGCCCCCAGTGACGTGGTCTCAGCTGGAGACGCGGATTTCTGCCACTCTGTAAGCCACCAGGGGAAAGAAGAGCTGATGCAGAGTGTGTCCGAGATGTGGGGTGGAAAAGGGTCACGGAGTCAAACGAAGGTGAAACGAGAATGCAAAACTCCTACTACAAACGAAGGAGGAGAGTGACCGGGTCACACCCGAGCTGAGACCTCGATGGCCTGCACTTCCCCAAATCACACCTTGAACATAAAGAGGCCTGAGCTAAAGGACGGGCTGGTTTGCTCTGCTCTGGACCAATGACAGTGTATGGTGCTGGAAAAAGCTCCAGATCACTGTGTCCTTTCTTTTACCCATGACAGCTCACTGTCATTGACCTCCCGGGGGGCGGGGGGGACGGCAGGGGATGGCAAATGTGTGAGGCATTTACCCCCTCATCCCACCACCAGACCCTGTGGAAGCCCTACTCCTGGCCGTTTCAGACAGCTCATCACAGAGCACCAACACACGCAGAGGCTGGCTATGCTGAGCAACGTCCCCTGCAGGAGGCGCAGGGCACGGAACCAGCCGCCCAGGGTGTAGGAAGTCACCTGCTGCTATTAACAGGAAATTGTACAAATTATACCCCTGGAACTGAAAGGATCGGGGTGCATATGTCATGGGCTTTGAGGATGGAGAAAAAAAAATTCTGTGCAAGATAAATTAAGGACACTTCCAAAAAAAAAAAAGAAGAAGAGAAAAAGAAAGATATTCACATACCTATGCTACACACACACACGAAAAAAATCCTCTTTAAAACTTGATTAAAAATAATATAAACGCTTCTGGCAGCAATGACAGTGTGTGCTGTTTCTCCAAAAGACAGACAATGAGCTATATGTTAGGCCAGGACCAAAAAAAACAATTGTTCCAAAGATCTGGCCACCAAACACTTTTTTCAAAAAAAACCCCTTACAATAATTACATCAGCACATGGACCCTGGAAAATTTCTTCTACCGTGAAAGGTCAGATAGACACTTCCTGCTTCTCATTTCTAGTACACGCTGTCTTTAGACAACAATGAGTGTGAGACAATAGGTTGGCGCGGGCCCAACACAGACTGAGAAATTCGAGCCAGGATGAGTCAGCCTGGAGGTCAGTGGTCTCAGGGATGACAAGACAGGCAGGCAGCGCCTGGGGAGTGGTGGCCCCAGAGAAGGCGACTCTAGGAGCCAACAGACATGTCTCAGTTTCCATCTGTGAGGTTCGTTGACAGGCGAAGGGCTCTCTCATGCGGAACGTGGAAGGGTGCAGACAGCAGTTGAGGCGGCGGCAGAATAGCAGGGCTTTGAAGAAAGCCCTGCGGAGGCGAGGCCGCAATGCAGTGCAAGAAGGAGCTGGCAGCACGGGTCACTGCGCCCTCTGCAACCTCCACTCCGGCTCCGACAGGCAGGCCAGGCGGGAACCAGAGCTCCCTCGTCTGTCTCCAAACTTGGCAACTTCTGGGACCCCCTCCCCTGCCCCCAGGCCTTGTTGCCACCTTGAACACCATGAGACACAGCCTCCCAGTACCAGGCCCCTGTACACCTGGTAGCCCCGCTTCCACGTCCTCTGATGCCCCTTTGGCAGCCTCCGAACATGCTGGCATCAGTACGGCCTGGGCCGACTTGAGAACATTCGGGCCAGTCCGTTCCAGCGGCATCTCTCCTCTCTGCTCTTGCCACCCAGGAAGTAGAGGAAGAGGGGACAGCAGAGGGGCGAATGCAGGGACAGGCATCAGGCTTAGGAGGAGCAGAAGCTGAGATGTTTCGGAGCACGAGGTGTGGCCGGGGAGAAGAGTAGGCGGCCGTGGGGAGGGCCACCTTTCACCCAGTGCCAGAGAGGGCCCGGGACCTGGCAGTCGTCCTTGACCCAGCCTTTTCCTTCCCGGTCCACACCCCATTATCAAGTCCTCCTCATTTTTCACTCCGAGGGACAAAAACACCTGCTGGTTTCCCCCACCCCAAACAATGAAGTTTTATGGACTTAAAAATTATATAAACAACAGGTGTGTTTTTTACATTTCAAAACAATGTAGAAACAATACAGAGAAAAAGTAAAAACTATCCCCAACCCTACTCTCCAGAAGCAAGAACAGTTCTGATGCTTTGGTGACAGGTCTCTAGATAGTGCCGGTGACAGTCCTGTGCACACAGAGGTTCACAGAAAGGGGGACAGGTGATGCCAGCCCTGGGCGACCTTCTGTGTCCACTTAATAAAGGGCAAGGATAGCTTTCTATTTCCAGAAATAGAGGCATATGCACTCATTTTTGATGGCTGCATAATATTCCACTGAGGGGGACACACCATTGTGTGTTTGACAAACCTCCCATGGATGGACAGTGGTTTTTAATTTGGCAGTTATGACGGCAGCGGCACTAGCACTAACACACACAGTGTGTGCCAACACGACATCTTCCCGGATCTGATTATGAAAAACAGCCCTTTGATAAAATGGTGTGTCCATTTTTCACCAAGTGCTTTTTTCTGTTGATTCATAAGAACGATTTGCGTTTCAGAGAAACCAACCCCATCTTCCCTCCGATTTCATCTCATTCGTGTGTCACAAGGTGGGTTTTTTTTCAGTTTGTCCCTGGCTTTTCAAACTTACTTTTGTGACTTTTACACAGATTGTCCAGTGATCTCCTTTTTGGCCCAGCCCTACTGATTGACGCTCCCGGCACTGAGTTAGATTGGGCCCTTTGTGACCTGCCGCACAGGTGACTGCGAACTCTGAATGAGCCTCCCTGCCAGGCCCTGGGCTCCACCTCCTGGAAATCTGTGCTCCACACAGCTGTTGGGGCGCCCCTTTTAAATTTTAATGTTTTATTGATTAGAGAGAGAAGAAGAAGGGTGGGGGAGAGAGACATCTATTTGTTATTCCACTTGCTCACACGTTCGCTGGTTGATTCTTGGATGGGACTGGGGACCGAACCCACAACCTTGGCGTGTCGAAATGATGCTCTAACCAACCAGGCTACCCGGCCACGGCCAGAGTGTTCTTTCTAAAGTGAAAATTTGACCAGGTCAGGCTCCATCTAAGGCTGTTCAGGGACGTGAGTCCCAGGCTGGGCCGCCCACACGGATCTTCCACAGGTCAATAAATAACCACGGCAAACACTGCTGGGGCATGGTTTACTTGTAAAGATTTTTAAAGATAGAGAAAAAGCACATTTTTTACTTCAAGGAAAGCACAAATACATGATGGAGCAAGATGAAAAATGCAAGTGAATTTTTAGGATAAACTAACATTGGGATAATCTAATCCTAAACTATTAGGATAGCCTTATCCTAAACTAAAATTTAGGATAATCTCATAGTAACTATCTATTAGATCTCAGGTGAAAATGTTCAAAAGGCAACGGAGATGAAGGATAAAGCTTAGCTCCCTACAGATGAGGCCAGGAGTGCCCTGCATTCGCCCAAACCCACTGCCTCACCAGCCTCCCGTGACATGAAGCACGACCTTGTGGTTGATTCCTGGCTCCTGGAACGCAGGGTAATTAGGGAGATCAGAGGACTCAGTGTCCAGTTTGGGACACTGTTAAGAGTGCAAGAGGACAGTATTAATCGTTGTGCTGGGGATTCTGGTGTGAACTGGGGCGTGTGGTCACCACAGGAGGGGTGGAGGGGCCCAGGCCTAACTCTCCCCTCTCACCCCCAGTCTGTCCACGAAGGGGGAAGGCACTGCCAGGAGCCCCCACGCCCCGTGTAGAGACAGGGATGGACAGCTTCCACTAAATGCTTCCGGCAGCAAGAACAGCACTTGTGACGTGTCAACCACTGTGGTGACAGCAGTCCCTGCCCTGGCCAGGGGTGGACACAACCCGGGACTCGAGGCTTCCTGGCGGCAGGGAAGCCTCTCTTTGGTCCTTCAGCCTCGCTGTTCGTTACCCTCTGGCTCAAATCTCAGCTCTAGCAAACTGAACTGCTTACTTCTACATTTTTAAATACCTGCTTCTGGCCCCAGCTGGTGTGACTCAGTGGACTGAGTGCAGACCTGTGGACAGAACGGTAGCCAGATCAGTTCCCAGTCAGGGCACATGCCTGGGTGGTGGGCCAGGTTCCCAGCTGGGGGTGGGCGAGAGGCAACCCATTATGTATCTTTCCCTTTGATGTTTCTCTCCCTTTCTTCCTCTCTTCTCCTCTCTCTAAAAGTAAATAAATAAAGTCTTTAAAATACCCATTTATGGCCCTGGCCAGGTAGCTCAGTTGGTTAGAGCCTCGACGGGATACACCAAAATTGTGGGTTCGATCTCCAGTCAGGGTGCATAGAGGAAGCAACCAGTGAACGCAATAATAAGTGAAACAACAATCAGATGTCTGTCTGTCTCTCTCTCTCAAAATCAGTAAATAAAAAATTAAAGACAAAATACCTGTTTATGCGTCTACCTCTCCCACTGGTCCGGAAGCTCCTTGATAACAAGAACTTAGTCTTCATTATCTTTGTAGCACTGAGTATCCGCACAGAAAAGCATTCATAAGCATCTGTTGAATAAACAAATATTTAGCCAAGTAAGAAACAAATCTTTCAACAGTGGCTATTTCACACCTAGAACTAAAACCATCGGAACCATAAGCCACTTGGAGGAGCTTAAGTCTGCAAAGACATGTACAAGATTTTGGAAAACCGAGCTACACATTTTGTAGCCCTAATAGAGGGGTGCAAAAATACTCTTCCTATGTTCATTCATCTCCACCCCCTGCCCACTCCATATACAAACACACACACACGTTTGCTCACTTCCTAGGGGAATATTTGACTTAATTAACAATAGCAGGATAAGTTCTAAGGCAAAGGAAAAATGAAGATTTTTAAGTTCAGATTCTAATGCTGGCGAATAATCCCCGCATGAGGTGCCTCGGCTCAGCGGAGGGATTAGTGTCCGGCTTCTCCAGATGATTGGAGCTGACATGTAATCGACATGATGTGCGCGAGAGCATCTTATCAACCCGAGGAAGGTGCTTTGCCCTCGAGATTTAATTAATATTAATGGCAGTGAAGCTGCCCGGAGAGCGTGATGTCCTCCTCTCTCTAAGACGAGGAGGCGGTTTCCCACCTCGTTCTGAAATGTTGACTGCCTCACGCATGCCCAGACAATATTCGGCTGAAAAAGGAATCCCTCCATCTGTCTCTGCTTCCCCCATCTACACTCAAAAGCTAACACAGCCTGAGAAGACGAGATGGATTGGTGAGGCATGAAGAAGGAGGGGCAGGATGGAGGGAGAAAAAAGGCTGCCCATGAAACATGCCAAACTACACCCACAGACAGACACCCAGCACCCACACACAACACCCCTGGTACTAATTAACGCAGCTTTGTTTCCATGCCAAACATTAGGGCGACATTAATTAGAGCGAAATCTCGTAATCCCTTTCCCAGTTCATTAATTATGCACCAAGGCCAAGTTTTTGTTGGCCCGACATAAGACAATCCCGCTCCGATGCGGACTTGACTCTGCACATCGCGCCACCGTCCAGGGCTTTCCTGGCTTCTTGGGACGGCGTTCAAGGCCTCCGCAGTTCATTCCTGTGTGCGTTTGTGTGGCCTCAGAAGGGCTCTGTGGTTACAAAACATCCTTTCAGCGGATGACAACCATTTCTTAGCTAACCCTGCACCAGACTATAACTCTGTCATAGGCACATGATAACTCCAGCGAGTCGTACACTTAAAAAGGGTTAACTTATTGTGGTATATATCTTACCACAACAAAACGTATTTTTAAAAGCAAAGAAAAACATGTACAGATTTTTGGAAAAAGCCGAGTTGTAGGGAGACTATACATGTGACCGAGAAAGGAGCTGGCAGATTCTCCAACAGTCTCGAGAGACCTCAGAATGTACTTTCTCGGGTGCAGAGAAAGTATCACGAGATAAACTTCAGAATTCGGACGAGCTCACCGTGCATGGTCTGAAGGGACTTGGGACAAAGGAAGGGTGTTGGAATGACGTCGTCAGGAGCATCAACGAGGCAGCCCGGAGGTTCTCAGCACTGAGCTAGTTAATCTGGAGCTACCTACAGTTAACTTTGTGCAGCTCCTGAACATCATTCCCTGAATTCCTGGCGAGTTTCTCTATCTGGGGCCGGAGGCCACGTCTCCTAGGACCAAGTACGGGCCCAGGCTGGACAGGCTGGTCTCAGAGAAGTGAGCAGGTGAAGGCCCCGGGCTGCTGCCGCCGGTGCACAGGTGTCCCCTGGCTGCTACCGTGAGTCAGTCTCACTGTGAGACTGTGAGTCTCACTGTGAGTCGTCCTTCAGCCGCATTAAAAAAGACTACGGTGCCGGCAAATGTCAGCCGACTCGTGACCTTTTCCCAAACTTTGCATGCAGATATACAGTGTGAAATGCCATCAAATCTTATCTTGAACCTGGAACCAGGAAAAAAATTGTAATACCACACAGCTGAATTTAGTGCAGCAGTTAGTTCCAGTCTGAGGCAAAATTCTGGTCAATAAATCAAAGTGAGCTTTTAAATAAGAAAAAAATTAGGAAAAAAAGATATAACAAAAGCTCTGTTAAAAATTATTGAGCCCTGGTTGGTGCAGCTCAGTGGATTAAGTGCAGGCCTGCGAACCAAACAGTCGCCAGTTCGATTCGCAGTCAGGGCACAGGCCTGGGTTGCGGGCCAGGTCCCCGGTGGGGGACACATGAAAGGCAACCACACATTGATGTTTCTCTCCCTCTCTTTCTCCTTCCCTTCCCCTCTCTCAAAAAATAAATAAAATCTTTTAAAAACAGAAGTATTGAATTCTTTTGTCTAATCTTTCACCATGGAAGTGTTGATAATTGATATATTTATTTAAATAAAAATGAGCTGTTAAATCTCTCCCCTCCCCCAAGACGCACACAACTAGTCATTAAATCCTTTTTGTCACTTTCCCCTAAGATTTATTATTTGAGAGCCTTACTTTTTTTTGCCTGGTGTATTTACTGAACAGGCTGATGCTCTCGAATGCCCTGCTCTCCTGTCATCTCTGACCTTCCCCGGGAAGGGCCGTCTGTGGTCTGTGCAGACTGCAGGACACCGAGGGAGGAGCCCGCGTGCCCCTGGCCCACGCGGTGGGCCCTGTGGAATGAGAGGGAAGCGTCAGAGATAGTTATCTGAAGGACAGGCTTCTGCTGACCTGCCTCCCAGGGTCCGGAGGCTCGTCAGAGCAAGGACCCCAGGGTGGCCAATGAGACCCTTTCCGGGAGCACACCATGCAGAGCAGGACCAGAGGCTCGGGCTGCATTTTTTCGTGTTTCTTAGCATCCTGTTCCGGGAGTGCAGGTCACTTATCTGATGACCAGACCAAGAGGGCTGTGACGCATGACATTCAGATACCCCCAGCGTGCAGCAACCAACATTTGTGGAACATTTTTAAGTTCTCAAGAAGCTTCACAGGCCTCATGTCCACTGAGCTCAGAATTAACCCTGTGAGGTAGATGGTGCCAGTGTCCACACTGACAGATGAAGATGGGACAGAAAATATGACTCCACTGAAGACAAGCTTTTGGGGTGGGTCTCCACTCACTGAGCCCCTGGGGGCTGCCAGGGCTCTGTCTAGGGGCAAGGTGGCCTCTTGGCGGGCTGCAGGTACACAACCGGGCTACAGGTACATAGTCAGGCTACAGGTGTGCTGCCTGCGGACCCCCTCACCTGCAGACCCACTAGTCAGAGAAGCAATCAGCAGTGACAGAAACTGCGCTCTGGCTGACAGGTCTTGGTGAACCTTTTGAGATTCCAGCCTCTCACTTAGGACGTCCTAGAATAAAAGCAGTGGGAAAGTAGTAGCCAAGGGTGAAATCCCTTATAAGTTGCCCACTGGTAAATCTCCAAGTTATTTTTTAATGAAAGATTGCAGAGTGATTCGGGGGTGTAAGACCCAGATGCAATGGAAAGAGTTTAAGTAAATTTTTATTTAAAAAACCAAAAAGCTCTCCTTCCAGAGCAAACTACTTATGCATATGAATAAGGCTTCCTAGGAGACACATCTATACAAATAAAAACTAGAGATTTCATGGATGCAGGCCCTGTCTCATCCGGCAATAAGCAGTAACTGTTCCTTAAGAGATACACGTGCTAGTTGTAAAACAAAACAAAAGTCCCCAAACAAAAACAAAAGAAGTAGAATTTAAAATTGTTAGCCTGACTTACCTCCCTGAGCTATATTTCTAATGAAATTATATTGGCTTCTAAGTCAAATAGTATAACACTTTTGATCGATAATATATTAACAATCATTGTCATGGTGACTCATTCCAAAAGAAATTTGCATTTCATGAATACAAGAAAATTTTTTGGTGTTTAGTGTCAACTTATAAAAATATATTTGCTGAAGTGAAACATGTCATGGTCATGGTAAAAGACGTTCAAGCCTGAGCACATATTAGAATAAAATTCCACGGGTACAGTGGGATGGAAACATGAATTAAGGGGGAAAATAATGTAAACATCTGTAAGGAAAGCTTAATGGTTTACTTTTGAAATGGATGGTGGGGGTATGGACTTGATATGATATTTAGATCACATTAGTTACTATTAAAAACAATGATAGGGCAGGTTTCATTTTTAAGCAGAATTCACAGCATGAGGGAAATTACATTCTCTGCAACTACTGACACTTAAAAATTTCCAGCTGTAACAATGTGCCAGAGGGGCACGCGCTTGTTCAAAATTTTATGAAGCTGTATGTGACCAGGGGCATCTAGAAACCACTGTGCTACCGGAATAGAGCACCATGTCTAATATTTGTGTGAGAAACGCGGTCATTTCTAAAGAAGACAGAAGCTCCAAAGTCACAGCAATGCATTGCTAAAGCGAATGGGGCCTGTGGAGGTATTTGTGCCTTTACCAGCGTCTACAACAGCTGTCTGCCTCGTTCTTCTACGATGTGGCCTGAAACCTATCGGCCAGTTCCTCTCATAGATCACCCTACAGGAAGCTCCCTATAAGCTCCAGTAAGGAATAAGACTATAGGAAGCCGAAATGAAATAATCACACAACTTCGTGTGATTAGCCACATATAATACATAATTTTCTTCTATAAAGAGACACATACATGTGATCACGTAACCTTGACCCCCATCCTAACTCACCTGGCCGACATGTGGGATTATGTCAGTTTCCCTAATGACCAATCAGGAAGTGACTGACCCCCCGTGGAATGGCATCTGCCGCAATGAAAAAGACGGGCCCTGTACACAGGAACGACAACATGTCAAACAGGAAATGACAATCTCGCTGCAGGATTCCATCTCTTTGGGGGCAAAGTGACCATGTAAACCATCAACTTTAAAGTGGAACTGATTTTTGATGAAAAGTCAGGCAGAGAGTGTTAAAAACTGCACTGGGGAGTTCTGTCAGGAGAGAGCTCGGGAAAGTTTTGAAGTCCAGACACACTGAAACTCCCTGGTGCAAAGCACGCAGCTCAATTATGGGAAAAAGCCAGTATCAGCAGCGAACAATCGCCCAGCACCAGAATGAAAAGAAGGAAATGTTGTTCCGAGCTGCTTGCCAAGACCAAAGAAAGTAGAACAGCGGCGGAAGGCGGGTTGGTTGCAACAGCCCAAAAGGATGCATTCCCGTTTGTGTTCGCCACTTACCTTTTGGAATAGGGCATTATCCTCCAACTCAGCGTAAATACAGCTGCATCGGAGAACAACGGCAGGGAAGAAGGGAGGGACAAGGGCTGAACTGAGAAATTCCTCTGAATTCCACTCCATCTCACACCCCATCATAGGTGCATGGAGACTGTTTTCCTTGTTATTCTTGGTGTTAAGGGGGAAAAGGGTGGGCCCCGGGCACTCACACTTCAGTCTTTGCTTTTAACAACCTGACGGCTGCAGTAGCCATGGAAGAATTTTAAAGCAAAATTACTTCCTAAGTCCATATAAAGCCCTGGTTCCCAACATTCTGAGTATAATCATTGTTAATCTCCGTGTAAGGGAGAATCTCAAAAACCACAAAGGTAAAGCGAAGACCAAACCACTTCTCCGTGTGCCCATCACCCAGCGGCACAACCGCCAGCTCCTGGCCAACCTCATTTCCTCTCTATTCCACCCAGATTATCCTGAAGCAAATTCAAGATACATGAGGATTTCTTTTTGTTTGTAATATGAAACGTTTGAGAGCCTTCCCCTCTTGCATTGCAGTGAGATTCTCAGAATAATTCTTGAATAATACTTGATTAAGAAAATCTGGATGGGCCCGTGGGCTACTGCCCACTGAGGAGTCTACACCAGGGCCGGACCCTCCCAGCATAAATACAAATGACTGGAAATGTCACTGAGAACCAAGCATATTTATTAGCGCCTTTACAAACTCTGGCAGCACAAGCACCGCTCACACCGCTTTATTTCTTGGGAAGGTGCTGGTCCCTCCAGGTTCACAGGCAGATTCAGAAAGGCAGCATTTGAATTCTTAACAGAATCTTTTTTGCCTCTGTATCCACTACTGACATACAACAAAGGGTTAACACAGGCTGCTGCTTTCTGAAACTCATGACCCCCGAACAGCTGTTTGGGGGTCTTTGTGACATCGACATTACCTATGCAGAAAAGCCCCCAGATCCTTGTGGGCTGGGCATCTCTGCACAATACAGTCTGGGCGTGTTTGTTGGCAGGCCCCCCGAACGGCCACGGAACAAATGAGCAGAGCCTGCGTCCACGCACTTGGAAAGGACAACTCCACACCGGGCGCCTCGGTACACCCTGTACATTTCCTTCCTGTGCAAGACTAATAAGCGGTACTGCGAAGCCAGAACTTCTCTTACGTATGAAATTCACTTTTCTGAGAGGAGGAAGGAAAAACTAAAACCTCCCTTTTCTTTGCAGGAGAGGGATAATGTCTTTAGTTTCCTTGGTAAGGGACTCTAAAAAAGAAATCCTGATTTCTGCTCACTGCACACTCGTAGCTAGTACTGATTAATGCTAATGGGATTCGCATATTTAAACAAGAGCGCCCTGGACCTCGTGATTGAAAATCACTCACAAAGTCTGTAATTGGAATTTATTGGTACGAATTTAATCCGGATCAATTTTAAGCTCCCAAACTTTTATGTTTAAATGAACAGAATTACTTCCATTAAATCCTGACACTGCTTACAGAAACAGAAAAATTATAGTAGTATTACATTTACACTTTATAAATGACAATCACCTCCAATGGACTCTTTTTCCTGGTTTCATGAAACACCCTGTTTGTAATTATAAATGTCTAAAAATAGTCATTGTTTGAAGATTTCAATTTTAGCTTTATTTTTCTAAACATATCCATTATGAAACTGAGCAAATAGAATAAAATCTTGCTTACATAGTACAATGTGTTTCTAAAACTCAGGATAAATATGAAATAAGCCAATCTAGTTTTCAACCAGGGAAATTATTCTCTGCTTTCTGTGTGCCGTATTAATTAGATTATGCACAAATCCTAATAGTTTGCATAATTGTATTTAATTTGCCAGAGGGAGAAGATTATGCCTTTGGACCTTTACTAAGAAGTACTGCTGTTTATTCACCAAAACCATATCACGTTCTAAAGAAACTAAAATGCATTCATAATTTTAGGATGGTAAAATGCAGTCTTCTTTTCAGAGGCCCAATTTATTTACTTTTATTCTATTTTATTGATTATGCTATTACAGTTGTCCTGACTTTTCCCCCTTTGACGCCCTCCACCCAGCACCACCCACTCCCTCAGGTAATCCCCCCACCATTGTTCATGTCCATGGGTCATGCAGAGGTTGTCTGGCTGCTCCATTTCCTATACTGCACTTGACATCCCCATGGCTGTTCTGTAACTACCTATGTGTACTTCTTGACCCCCTCACCTCTTCACCCATTCCCCCACACCCCCTCCCATCTGGCACCCATCAAAACTCTCTATATCCATGATTCTGTCTCTGTTCCTCTTGTTTACTTAGTTTGTTTTTAGATTCAATTGTTGATAGGTTTGCACTTTTTTGCCATTTTATCATTCATAGTTCTGATCTTCTTTTTCTTAAATAAGTCCCTTTAACATTTCATATAATAACAGTTTGGTGATGATGAACTCCATCAGTATTTTTCTTGTCTGGGAAGCTCTTTATCTGCTCTTCAATTCTCAACGATAGCTTTGCTGGGTAGAGCAATCTTGGCTATAGGTCCCTGCCTTTCCTGACTTTGAATATTTCTTGCCAATCCCTTCTAGCCCGCAAAGTTTCTTTTGAGAAGTCAACTGAGAGTCTTCTGGGAAGTCCTTTATCGGCAACTAGCTTCTTTTTCTCTTGCTGCTTTTAAGATTCCCTCTTTATCTTTTAGCATTTTAATTATGATGTGTCTTGGAGCAATGAGGCCCAATTTGAACAAACCTCCCCACTCCAAACACACGTGGTTAAATGTTTATAATCATGGAATATGGTTAAATGTTAGTGAGAAGCTCATGTATTATATCCCCTTCTGGCTTAGTGTCTATTCCTTACATGCATTTTCTGGTCATTTAGCTAACCTATCATTAAAATATAAAATTTCAGACCTGGACTTTTGTCCATTACTTTTTTGTACATCAACCTTCAACAAATAGCCAAGCAGATATTTCCCTAGCAAAATAGGTTTATTCAGGAACAACAAAGAATAGCAGTTTGGGACACGGGGTTCAAACGAGAGGACCATTCTTTGATAGAGGAAAGGGGAGCTCAGAGGGGGGCTGTTGTAAGCAAAGAGCCCATTGGAAGAAGCTGGGAGTTTCAAGTGTAGCGACTTTTCATTGGCTGAGTGGTTGCTGGGGAAGGAGGAGATCCTCCTTCTTCCTGCTGGAGTAAAGTAGAAAAACATCTGGTCTCTTCCCCTTTGGAATAACTGATGATGAGTTGGAGGGCAGAAGAGCTCCCCCTACAGGCCAACTCCAATTTCTAGGAGGGGTTTGTTTATTAACCTTCACACTGGCATGAATATGTTTGCTCTAGATTAAATAATTTTTTCACTCCTCACCTCCACCTTTCAGAAAGAGCGTACTCTATTAACAAACGCTATGTTTAAAAAAGAAAGCGATGGAAGAGAACTTTCGGAGCTTACCTGTAATGGGAAGAAAAAGAACCAAAATTGTGCATGAAGTTAAAAACTTGCTATACAGAAATTTCAAGATGTTCTGATGAAACGACATTCTTCCAGATTTTATTGAAGGCCACTCTACTCTTGGACAAAAGCTGTCCAAGCAAACTGTGCAGTCTTTGCTAGTTAGTGCCTTTGGCCTATTCAGAGCGCTTCTTATTCCACCAGCTACCCCAAGGTCAGGTCTGCCATAAAGAGCCAGGTCAACCCTGGAATCCTGGATTATAACAAGTGTGGCCCAGTCCCAGGTTCATTCTTGGCTGCCGGGACCCTTGTCTAGGGCAGTAATATATTCGAATGTAGGTTATCACTAGAATCATTCAAGGCACCATTGACAAAATACAGATTTCCGGAGAACCAACCCTGATTTCTTAAACCGGAATCTGCAAGGTGGGAGTTGTGACAGAGGCAGGGTGAGACAGAAGCTGGGAAATGGAATTGTTTAAAGAGTTCCTCAGAGGATTAAAAAATAAATAACAGCATTATTGAGACATAAATTGCACACCATGCAACTCACTCATTTAAAGAATACACTCTGATGATTCTTAGTATATTCACAGACACAGTCAATCATTTCCAGGGTCAATCTTAGAGCATGTTTATGACCTCAAAGGAAATCTGTATTCTCCAGCTTCCATCCTGCCCCCCATCCCTACCTCCAGCTCTAAGAAACCATTTCCACTTCTCCGGCATTCCCTCTTCTGGATTTTCAGAGGAGCAGAATCATACGATACATGATCATTGGGACCTGGCTTCTTTTCCTCAGCATGATGTGATCAAGGTCCATCCCAGCTGTAGCATGTATCAGTACTACATGCCTTTGGATGGCCAGACACCCCAGAACGTGGATATACCACATTCTGCTTGCCCATTGGTCCACTGTTGGACATCCGGGTCCCCAGAAGACCTAATCATCAGCCATATTGGATAACCATTGATAAAAAAGGATCAAGTGTCGATCTCATGGCAACTCCAAGCTCTTTGCACAGAGCAGCCCAGGGTCTTACTCAACAAGGCAGGGGAGGGGCAGGGGATGGGGGGAAGCTTGGTGGGAAAGGCAGGGCTTGGGGTGGAATTCTGGCCCTGTACTTCTCAGTCATATGACCTGGGCAGTGTCTTTAACTCTCTCTACCTTCACGTTCTCATTTTAAAAAATAGAAATAATGATTTCCACATCATAGACTCCTGAGGATACTTGAGACAGCCAAGGTCAAGTACCAATAGCTGCCTATCACACATCTATTTCATGCAGGGCAGACATTCTTATTTTCCCTGTTGAATTAAACCAAAACATCCACTTGTATACAGAATTATAAAGGTGGAGAGATTACCTGTATTTCCATCTAGAAAATAAATTACTATAAATAAAATAAGACTCTCCAAATTATAAAAAAGCAAAAGGACAGATTGGAAAATACAATTCCTTCACTTTTTAAACTAAAGTCAAAGTAATAAATAAAAGTCTAATTTTTCATTTGGAAAAAAAATAGAAATACCTTCTATTTAAGATACTAATCATATTTTCCTTGTTCCATTGCATTTTCTTTTTTTAAAAAATTAACATTTTAATTTAATTTATT